TTTTCTGTGTTACATCCTTAGCAAAGCTAGAAGATGCTGCTGCCAAGTACAGTAAAGTTTTACCAAGCTTTCCCAAACAACGAACATAAATTTGTATCCATTTTCTAGTTGTCTCACAAATACGAAGTAGAGTTGACTCTTTTAGAACTCTGCTTTTATTTTACATTTTTATTTTCTTTATTAGAACACGTTTGTAGCACATCACGAGTATGAATATTAGGGGGAGTTCGAGCCTGTACATAACACATCTTCATTCCTCTTCTTTTTGTCCCTTCATGACCCCCTCTCTCCCTGCTTCCTCCGACTCTTGATCCCCACTCCCATTTACAAAGTTCTATTGCCACTTTTTTCTTCAATTCTTTCTTTTCTCCCCTTCCTTTCCCTTTCTTTCCCTCTAGCAATCTCTTGTTCCTCTTCCCCTTTAAGAAAGATCTTCCTACTTCTTAGTATTTGTCTTTTATTTTTCTCTTTTTTTACATTTTGAGTTTCTTATATAAGAAAATCCATGAAATATTTAAGCTTATGTGTCTGATTTATTTCACTTAACATTATGGTCTCAAGGTGTATCCATTTGCCTATGAATGCTTCAAGTTTATCTTTCTTTGTGGCAGAATAGTACTCTATTGTACGTAATATTGTACGTAAATACCACATTTTCTTTATCCACTCATCCATTGATGGAAATATAGGCAGTTTCCAAGATTTATCTACTATAAATTGTGCTGCTTTCAACATGAGTAAAATAGACACTTCTCAGAAGAACAAATGGCTAACAAATACATGAAAAATTGCTCAACATTGCTGGCCATTAGTGATATGCAAATTAAAACAATATTAAGATCCCATCATACTCCAGAAAGAATGGCTATGCTCAAGAAATCATACAATAGCAAATGCTGTTGGGGCTGTGGGGGGAAAGGAACCCTTCTACACTGATGGTGAAAATGTAAACAAGGATAATCACTACGAAAATTGTGTATGGAGCTTCCTCAAAAAACTAAAGCTAGAAATTACATTTGACTCACCTATTGCCTTTCGACAGCTGACTTTTTAAAGATAGGACTTTTGAAAATCTTCAGATTTGTAAATATCAGTATACTATGTGACTTACTTTAATAAGATGCAATTAAATATGAATAAAAAATTAAGCACTTGTTGAGTAAACAGAGGAGTAAAACTAGTTATGAAGCTATTAAAATGAATTCTCTCTGAAAATCAACAAAACAGTATAATAAATATCTCTCTCTCCCCTTCTCTGTCACATACCCACATACAGATACACACACAAACACACACACACACACACTCTTTCATAAAGAGCAAACCTCAGTATCAAATGGAACATTTCACTTCTGAATTTATCCAAGTTTTTTCTGTTTTTCTACCTACAATTTTCTCAGATTTATAGTTTTTAATCTCTTATTTATTTCCTTTTCTCTTCCCAGAATTAACAGTCTGCTTTCTTTTTCACATGCTTTGCTCGTGTACAAAAGTTTTATCACTACCTAAGTTTTTTCACATAGGATGGACACTAGAAAACTGTTAACAAAAAGTTATTAATTAGTCAGCTAGTCTCTGTCCTTATTTGTAATTCTTTTTTTTCATTAAGTTTATTGGTAAATTTTAGGTATACAATATGATAGCATTCATTATTGGGAATTTGTACCTTTACATAATATATTTTGTATTTTTTCCCCATTCCCCTGCCTTTCCTTCAACTCCTCCACCCCTCCCTATTTGTTGAGGGTTAAATCAAAAGTATGTCTTAACAAAATAAATGTGTCATGGTTTTTCAAATATGCTAAAAAAAATGTTGTGTTAACTCCTCCAATGCAAAAAAAAAAAAATCTATTGTTCTGAATTTTCTTAAAGGTAACATTTTACCTATGCATGAAAGCAGAAATACTATCTCTTATGTTGCCTGGAGATTCAGCTGTTGCTGCTAAGTTAAGCTATATTTATAAAGAAAAATTAGAAATTCTTCTTTATTGTATATGCTAGTGAATTTACTAATGAGATAATAGAATAAAGTGTCCTCTAGGGGTGAAATGAAAGAGCATTCCATATGCCAATCTATTTATCTTGCCAGTCTACCTCTGATCACACTCTACCCTCTGTCTACAGATTTGTTTTTTTATGCAGGTCAAATTACCTCCTATTTTATTATCTCCTCACTCTGGCAGGAGGTAGTCCTCTGATTCAACAATCGGGCTGTCACTATCCACCTGCCCTTTAACACTGTCCCTTCAGACACCCGTACAAAAGGCAATTTTTAACTGATCTTAGTCCCAGAGGGCAAAACATCTACATGGGTTTTATCTACATCACCAAGAAACCACCTTTTTCTTTCACATGTGGATACAAAACTGCCAAAAGATTTTCACATTATTAATTACTTGATACAGATTTCTAACAAAGGAAAATGAAATGATAATAATTTAACTTGTACTTAAGCAGTTGATCTTAAGTTAAATCAAACAAAAATTTTTCCATCTGATTTTCATTAATTTTGAGTGTTTTATATTCTAGAAATATCAATACCTCTTTGCTTTCTAGAGTTAATAGGCACCATATAATGCCCATATGTATTGCTAAAGTAGTTAATGATTTGCAAAACATTTGTGTACTTAAAATCCATCAAAGCCTTTTTAAGATTATGTCTAATACTCAACCCCTGTTTATAAACATAGCATTCGTTTTTGCTTATTTTAACATAGAAGCCACAGTAATGTAATACATATATTTTTTTCAAAGGCAGGGTCTGTACCTGTAACAGTAAAAATAGTTATTATTCATTACTTAGTGAATTAGGAAATTATTAAGCATTAATAAAAGTTGTCAGGTCTTTAGTGGATCCCTCATGTAAGTATTGTTTTCTTAATTTACAACATGCAGCAATGGTATTTAGAGACCTTGATTGCATAATTCCAAGTGACTCAACCTCAGAGTAGAGCACGAATTGGAATCTAGATATATTTTGATGCAAAGTCAATTGCTCTTCTATTTTTTTTATAATGTCAATTGCCCATTTGTATCATTTTTGGAGCCAAAAGAAAATGTGTCACATGTCTCATTTGTGACGACTTCCAAAATCCAAACAATTCAGTCTCTTGCTTAACTCTCTTGCTCATCACAAAACTAAGGTTTTGCCCAACAGATTGCCTGCTGGCAGGACTCAAAGGATGAGCAGTTCTCTGCCTTGAAGAAGATCACAGATTCTTACAGTCTACATAGATCTTCATCCACCTCCCCATCATCTCAGGTGACTCACCAGGCCATCCTGTCCCTTTACAGTGATAGCAGAGAAGGAACCACTTTCTCGTGACATAAACATGGCACTGTTCATTGTAAAATGTTTCTCAAATAAACATTACAGGAACACGAGAAAAGGACCCCACCAACTCTGCACAACTTCTTCTTCCTTCTCCATGTCTCTCCTAATTTTGTACATGAAGTGCTTAATCAGCATCTTCTTTGTCCTCATCACTTTCTAAGTGCTAAGGGTGATAAGTAGAGAACACAGAACAATAAAGGTGAAAACTAGGGCTGTGCAAGGCAAAAGCAGACGTCAGTTCTCAGATCCTACCTTGAGCACATACTGATTTGCTAGGGCTGCTAGTACAGAAATGTCAGAGACTGGGTGCCCTTAAACTACAGAAATGTATTTTCTCACACTTCCAACAGCTGGAAGCACAGCAGCATGGTTTCAGGAGGCTGTGGGTTTTTCCTGAGGCATCTCTTCTTGATTTGCGGTTGGGCACCTTCTGTCTGTGTCTTCACATGGCCTTTCCTTTATGTGTGCATCCTTGGAGTCTCTGTCTTCTTACAGGATCATGTTCTTACTACTTTAGGGCTCCACCCTTATTGCCTTACTTAACCTCGATGACCTCTTTGGAGCCCCTGTCTCAATACGGTATCACTTGGGTTAGGCTTTCAATGTAGGAATCTGAGGGGAACACAATTCGGATATTTCAGTCAGAGGTTCAAATCCCAAGACAGCTGTTTCCTGATTGTCCCAACACTGGTTGGTTTTCTTAACCACTGTGTTTTATTCCTTATCCTGTAAAATAGGGACAATAAGAATACTTGCCTCCTATGGTTTTTGAATATCCATTTAATTGTCAAGCTGAAATCCAAATTGCCTATTAGTGGTAGATGAATATTTTAAAATATGATTTTACTCTTCTTTCTTCTCTCCATGCAGTAACACACAAATTGTGAAAATAAGATATAAAACAAAAGATGGAGGAATAAAATATTTTAAGAAGTATTATTATACACTAGTTTTTCTTAATTATAATAACGTGTATTATATAATTAATTGTGTGGAGAGACCCCACACAGAGAAAAACAGTTTATTAGAGTCCTAAATGTGTAACCTAATTCATTCTTTCCATAAATCTTCACGCAGCACTAGTTACGTGGCAGGAAATAGCCCAGCACTTGGAGACAGTAGAGGAAAACTTGCTATTCTCGGGAAGCTTACTTTCTAGAATGGACACGTGTTGCCTTCACATTTATCATTTATTTCAGAAATTGGGTGCAATAAGACATTTCCCATAGGGGAAAAAATGACTTACATCACATGGCCAGAAAAGTCCCTAGACACGATACTGACTCTGAGGTCTGTGGAGCTGGCAACCTCCAGGGCCCTCCCCACCCCTGAGATGCGATCTGATCCCGAGCCCCCTCCCCTGCAGCCCGGGAGGAGGGACCTCGGGCCACTGGGCCGGGCCAGGTAGCTCGAGCCCGGGCCGTGCGAGCCGCCGGTCCTGTCTCCGAGCCGCCGCCCGGGTCCCCGTTCAGAGGTCGCCCCGAGTGCGTGCTAGTAACTGTGGCTTTGGCGGGGTGTCCCCGGCCCACGTCAGCTGTTTGACAGCCTCGCATCAAATCAGAGGGCAGCGCTGGCCGGGAGCCCCCGCGCGACACCCGGAGCTCCTGCGGATTAGAACTCGCCTCTCCTGGCTCCTCCCTCCGGTCCCATTTAAATCTCCCACTGCCTTTGGGAAAAAGTTAGCACTGGGCTCCGTTTCTGCATTGCTGTCTTCCACTGCAAGATGGTAAGTGAGGACTTGGCGTCAGCAAGTCCCTGGCAAAACTGGGGCGCTCTGAATCTTTACCTTTGGAGTTTGTGCCGCAGTAGGAGCAAGATTGTTTTGCTCTCTGCCAATTAAAAACGGGTCTTCTCCGGGGCTCTCTGGCCCTTCCTCTCTACTCCCCTGCACTCCATCTCCTTCTCTTCCTCCTTCCCTCTGTTATTTCTCCATTATTTCTACTCTATTTTCTCCCTAACTTCCCTCTCCACCTGCACTCACTTCTCATCCCACCTCTTCCTCTAGATTATGCACATATTTGCAAACATTTGGACTTGAACTACTTTCAGTGTGTCTGGGTTTGTTTTCCTCTCAGGTGTCAATTGCATAATAGCTTAGCACTGATTCCAATAATAACCCCAGGGGAGGAGTTTGCAAACACACTTTTAGAATAAAAGAAAATAGCACTTGATAAACGTTTGGCTGGATTTCTTGGGTCTGCAGGGCCCCAGCTTCGCTTGCTTTAGAGCTGAAATTTTTTTCTAAACTTAAGTCTGAGAACATTGACAAAATGTAACTTCTCAATTTTTTTTTCTTCTTATTATTTGTTTCCTCTGTATTTATGTTATGCCCAAGAAAGTTCTCAAGTCAAAAAAAAGACTTGTAAGTGATTAAAAACTGCTTGTCCAATCCTGAATTAAGTGAGTTTTACCGGATTAAACATTGACAAATAATTTTAAAAAGGATGTACAAATTAACTCAGGAAGACTGTGTCCCTGCCCCTGTCTGGAAAATTGGAAAGATTGCATGTTTGGGGTGGGAGGAATGGAGGGCAAGAGGACATCCATTGGGTCAGAACACAGTGGAAAATACACGCAGACATTTAGTGGTGACAAGACAACTGTGCAACGGCATCAAGCCCTGGTGATGGACAGAACTAGAGCTTATTATTGGTGAGGTTTGACTTCTTTAATGCTTTGATTAGATGTTTACTTGAAGTGATACTATGCTCCTATGTTAGAATGGAAGGAAAATTTATATTTGTGGGACAGTTATATACATATATAGAGGCATGCAAATACATATATAAGTATTACGGTAGATAGATAGATAGATAGATAGATAGATAGATAGATAGATAGATCTGCACTCATATAACCATAAGACCAAGCAACAACATGTTAGATTGGAGGCAAAAGGTATACAGGAATAAGGCAACTATGTGACTCAGTAGTCAAACTAAGAAGTACTTTATAAGATGTTGTGTCTTGTCCATTTTATCCTTTGAAGTCTGAATTCTTTGTCCTGTCCATTTTATCCTTTGAAGTCTGGATTCTTTTCAATTAAGATATTTGCCAGAGAGAACCAAATAGTTCATATATCTTTGCATCAATAGTTGGAATTTCTTCTGTTCAATTGCTGAGTAGCTTACTAGATGAGCTAGACATTGCAACAGGAAATACCTGATGTCTACACATTTGATCTATCCAGTACTTGTCTGCTTTTTGCTCAAAAGGCCCAAGGAAAGTACTGGATAAGGCAAGAAGCTGAGTCCTTTGTAGTCAGTACAATTAAACAATTGAAATTTAAACTGGATCTATACCTAACACGTTCACTACTTTTTGGTTCACTGCATATAATTTTTGTATGTTCTCCCCACCCTTTTTCCCCTCAAATCCCCATCACCACATCTCCTGGAACCCCTCCTTCCACTCCTTATACTGAATTCCACAGAACACCATTTTGCCTTGCCAAGACCAGTATTTTTCAGGAGGCCAAAACTATAATTGTCCGTATCCCACTGCAACGTCAAAATCTAGTGTTGACGTTTCCACGGAGACTTGGGTCTCTTTCTGGACTGCTGGTCTCCTGGACAACAGTGAGCCCCAACAAGCACCACAGGCACGGGGTAAGTTCTGCTTCTCTGCTTTCCTGATAGAGCTAGAGCCCTTTTCTAGAGCCATGGCTGCAAAGCATCATGGGCTAGGACTCTATAGAAAAGGGATGGTAGAGAAAATTTAAGCCCCCACATTTGTTCTGTTTCAGCCATGAAACTTAGCAATTTTTACTTGCCAAGTAGTGAAATTGGGGTTAGTCCTTTTACTTGCTGGACAATATATATTTCTCCCTATATTTTATAGTTTTTAAAGATTCTCAATTTATTGAGAGTTTGGTCTGGTTTAAAGTTTTATGAAGTACATTCTAGTAAGAAGCGTTTGTTGTCAAGATGGCAGTTGGAACATTTCTTTTGGAATTCAACAAAGTTTCCCTGAGTATAGAAGAAGAGCAAGAAGGAACAACTTAATTTTTTATTTCACAGAGAAAATTCTGTGGAAATAACTATTCTCTTTTATGTACAAAAAGGACTTTAACATTGAAAGAGAAAAATAAAGAAAATTATACGCAACATTAATTTTGAACCTGGAGCTTGGTGGACAATCCTTATAAATATTAAGGGAATACTGTATGACATTCAATTTTCTGTAAAATAAAACTCACAAATACCACAAAATTAAATATCTGCACTATTATCCAATGTGCCACATGATTTGGGGAGAAAGATTAAGAAAAGCAAAAACTCAAAAATTTTGAAACACCCTTATATGTCAGGGAAGTTGTTCAGTTTTAATGCTGTACTATGAGCAACAGCGAAAACAGAATGCTCAGTGAAATGAAACCAACTCTATACAATTTTATTCCTGTTTCATTACTCATCAGTTCCTTATGAAAAAAATATTTCAGTGATAGCAATTTCAGTAGAGCGGGACAAGAGTCAGAATGATGGTAAATGAATGAAAAATTCAACAACATTAGCATACCCAAACAATTTTGATTGATAAGTATAGTTTGCTGTCAAATATGGGGAAAAAACACTCTAAAATCTTATAAAAATGTACAGACAAAAACAGTTGAAACATAAAAGGTGTAGGTACAGTGTTGAAATGTTCATCAAGGCCCTCAGAGAAGCAAGGTGCAAATTATTTTAAAGTAGAAGGTGCTATCACCTAGAATTCTGAATAAATAAGGTCCACCCAATTTAACAGGCTCACACACAGAAAGAGAAATGGTAGCATCCCACAATAGGATTAATTATAAAGCCAAACCCTCTATTATGAAGCATTAAATCTTTAGAAAGTAGAATACAAATTAGAAAAAAATATTAGAATCAAAATATTTTACTTCATAGAACAGTAGAGACAATAAATATTTGAATGATTTAATGATTCAGATGCAATGATTTTATTGATTCAGATGCAATGATTTTATTAATTCAGCCAGCAGGACTATACATATCAGAGGAAAATGTGACTAGTTACCTTCTAAAAAATTCACCTCTTCAACCATGTTGACATATTTTTGTGAGCCCTTGCTTGCTTTCCTATTCTGAAAGCTTTACATATTTTGTTTTCCTGCGTGGAAGAAATAACTATTTCAAGAAAGATAATTGCACCTATTGGACTTGGGAAATCGGCTGATAAATTTATTGTACACAGATAAACAGTGTGTTTTCCCTGCTGCTCATTTCGTGTGTCCACATAGAATCGGCCCGTGACCTGAGTTTCCCGGCTCTGGATTCCTGCTCATGGGAAGAAACGCAACTTTCCTCGCAGCTGTACCGCAACAAGCAGGTATGTGTTCAAGGGAACACCGAGACTGCTCTCTGCTGTGCCTTCCCTTCACTTCATGTTATCTCTTTTCCTCCTTTAAATTTCATGTTCACATAGGTTAGAATCCAAAAGTAAATATCTGTCCAGAGAAAGATAAGGTTAGGTGCACAATGTCAGACAAAACACCCCAGCAGTAACACTCTTAGAAAAGCACCTGCCATCGAACTGCTTTTTCACATTTTAGCTATATGACCTGCTGAATCCTCCTTTTCCTCATTGATGAAACTGGAATATTCACGAGATATATCACAAAGGGTTGATGTGAAGACCAAACGATATCCTGAGGGTCATAATATTTTTAAATGATGAACATAAGTAATCACTGCAGGAAGGGGGGATGAGTATAAAAGTGATTTTGAAGATTGCTTCATTTTTTGTGTTTTGTTTGTTGTGGCTCCTGAAGAGTAATTTAATATAGCGGACATGTAGGCACCCACAGCTTTTTTATTCCTCTTAAATATGTATGGAAGGCATCCAACCAAACCTTTATGAACAGCATTTTCTATATTTAAACAGTTACATTCAGCTCATTTCTCTTCATACCTACCTGACTCCCTTGTGGTTTCAACTTTAAAAGTCATTTAATCTCTTCAAACACTTTGTAATGAATGAAAAAATTCAGAGCACAAAATTGAACAGTCATGTGGTAGAAGGGGTGTAGACTTTATTTAGGTCTCTGTGAAAGAGGACTCCCTGAAATTCTGTTCAGAAAACAAACAGAATAATCAAATTTAAGAAGGTTGAGGAGCAGTGGCATTATGATAAGCTTACTAAGTCAATAGAGTGTAGCGGCCTTCACCATTGTCTGCTTTTTACAGCTCCAAGATACTCTGATACAGAAGGAAGAAGAACTCGCTAGGCTACACGAAGAGAATAATCACCTCAGACAATATCTGAATTCTACTTTGGTTAAATGTCTTGAAGAAAAGGCCAAGGTGTGTAACAATCTCTTTTATAAGATCAAGGCAGAGATGTGAGAAAGGAGACCATTTACAAAAAAACTCTTTCATTAAGTACAAGAAGTGCATTAAGCAGAGCGTCTTGATGTATGTTAATAAATGGATCATTTTTTTATTAAGGAAATATATAATGTTCACAAGAGAGTGTACATATCATTTCTTAGAAATGTCTAGATTGTACCAGTTAGCCAGGCACTGTTAAAGGGAATTCTTGAAGAAGCAAAAGCTAATCCAAGGAAGTATTGAGACAAGAGACATTAATCAAAAGGAGAGTTAAATACCTGGAATACTGAGGTAGAAGTAGGTATGAAAAAAAGTCAGTTGTTTTAGGTATCTACCTGACTTTAGATAAGTCATTCTCATTGAGGGCCTCCATTAACTTTATGTGTAAATGGATGGGGCAAAAGATATGATAAGAATCTCTCTTAGTCTGAAAGGCTATGAATCTGACAAGAGCTCAGGTACATTGACTATCTTGACTGGCAATTAGGTATACGCAATTACATTACCTGTCATTCATATTTTTCCTAAATTTTTAAATGAGTTATTTTCAACTTAAGGATGCATAGCTCAACTATAGTCTTCTTTTGTTCTTTTTCTTTTCTTTGGTTTTGCAAGTTTTCTGTGTTTGTGTGTGTGTTACTGGGGATGAAATGAAACCCAGGACCATTACACTGAGCCATATCCACAGGTCTTTTTAAATTTTTTCATTTTGAGACAGAGTCTTACAGAATCAATACATTACTCAATGTGGGGTAAAACTTGAAATACGTCTGCTTCATCCTCCCAGAATTTTGAGATTACAGATGTGTACCACCATGCCCAGCTGTTTCGCAAACTTTTTATTATATATTTTCTATTATGTTGATACTATTAATTTGCTTATCCATTTTTACTTTACTTCCAGTCAAACTACATTATCTGATACTTTGAATCTAAGTTGATACACTTACTAAACATAACAATTCAGACAAGACCTGAGATTTAATTCCTTTACAATCATTATTTTTTATAAAAAGGGAACTTGTCTTATAGTTCTTAGCCTGGACTCCTAATTCTAGCCACTATTCAATAAATGAAACTAAGTGTCATTAATTAGGTGGTTGTATATTTCTTGATCTCAATTTTTATAATATTTAGGAAAATATAATAATATAGCTCATGCTTTGCACATTAATGGACTCAACCAGGGAGTGTTGTATAGTGTTTAAATCAGAGGTTCTGCCTAGATCCAGTAGATGAGTATGGTTTAAATCTAAGCTGAGTGATCCTCAGCAAGTTACTAAGCTTTCTTGCCCTGGTTTCCTCATTAATGGAGGTTTTAGTAGCATCTACATGCAATGAAATGATGCATTTGATCAGTCCTTTAAAAATCATAATAAATGGTAGTTTATTTACTTATAAACAATAGTTTAATAAGTGATAATTGCTATTGTCGCCATCAGCAATACTATCTTTTCTTCCCTGAGCTGAAATGCTACAAACAACATCTCTTGATTTTACCTTTTCAAAATAGAGTAAAAAATCTGAATTAAAGTTTCTAGGCAACGAGTTATCATCTTGCATGGATTTTAATTCACAGGCACTAATCCAACCAGCTTTGCTTGTGCATGAAAAAATAAAATGTAACTAATTTTTCTAGGGCATCATAGTAGCTAGTAAATACTTGAAAGACTTGTAATTTTCAAATTCCACTCCTCTAGAAACTGCTTTCCTCCGAAGAGTTCTCCAAAGTATGTGGAAAATTCAGAAAGGGGAAGAGGAAACCTAAAGAGCAAAGATATTCTCCTGCTGAGACTCCCCATCCCAAAAATGCCAAGAGGAACCTCTCTAGCGAGTTTGCCAACTGTACAGAGCAACCTGGGCCTCCTGTGGATGCCTGGGTCCTCCAGACACTTGGGTTGAAAGACTTTAACACCATTGATGATGCCAGATCAGCTAACTGCAGTGCCCTCTCCACTCATCCTCAAGGAGCCACCAGTACATATTCCCACTTTCTGGGTGAAGCAGTTGATTATGAAAATGTCCCCAGAGACAATCTGCCCAATGACTATGAAGGTGCAAGAACAGCCCTGCTGCATAGCACTGCCAGCCAAGGGGAAGATCTTCACTACTTTTCTCAACTTTCACATGCCCCAGGGAGGGTCCAAATGCTTCCTTATCACAATGTGGATGTGGCACCCAACAAGACAGAGATGGCCTTTTCCACATCCCTGAGCCCTCACTGCAATGTGAAAACTCATTCCTTTCACCAGGGACAAGCGTTTGTGCGCAGAGATGAAGAGGGAGGCTGGAAGTTTACCTGGGTCCCTAAGCAATCTTAGTGACCCCAGCTGGTCACAGAGCACTGCCACAAACTCGGTTTACAAAGACCTCTCTTGCACTTGAATCTGTCTGTGTGGAACACTGAAGAGATCATCCAGATTCTCTCCTGCCATTTGGAAACTTACTCACAGTTATCTACTTAAATATGCCAGGAATGGCTTTCAAGAATTTATAAGGAGAGGTATCTGCTCTTCTTTCACCTAAATTTGATTTGTTTACACACCAATAACTACAGTGGACTTCTTCTCTTGGCCTTATACTTGAAACAATAGTTTCCAATCATTGGTAGATTTCAAATTTTAGTTTTACTTTTCCAGTTACAACCAGCTTAACAGCTTTTCTTCATTCATCAAGCAATTTAATATTCATAGTCCTTTTATTTTCCTTCCTTTTCTGTTCCTCTATCTTGCTGAATATTGCCTGGTTTGGTTCAAGTTCTTGCTACTGAGTGCTCAAATAGCTGGGGTAGGGTAGACGTAAGTGTCTGCTCATCAACACTACAGAAGACGTAATGTGGACATGAATGCCCCTATGTCCAGGGCAGTTCACACAGGTGAATGTCCCATGACGGCATGGGCAAAATATCTCTTAAAACAACCGTAACTTCACTAAAGAGAAATGTCATTGATAAATTACGAAAGTTACTTTAGAAATGCCCCATTGTATATCAGCTTCTACTGGCATCTGACATTTTTTTTATTTAATCAAAATGGCTCAAATAGGAACATTTTTGAGAAACAGTCACCATCTTAATCTACATAGATACTGTCTGACAAACTGTTATTCCTGGAAGCATAGTCTAGTGTAGCTCTGCATTATCTTATTCATTTGATCATCTATGCCTCCATTCATCATCTTTCCGGACATATCTATAGAACACCTCATATTTATACTCTGTGCCAGGTACTGTGATATGGGAAGGGGATAACCTATGAGCGATTTAGACTCTGCCCACACTCATGAAATTTGAGCTGTTTCTGTGCTCTTCACCTTAAGAAAGCTACTTCCCTTGTGTGAAAGTTCAGTTTTCCTAGATGAATGCGGCATGCGGATGAGATGATTGGTTGGTCACATTCTATGACTGTAGACTGGATCGTATCAGCTTCACTCCAGTGTAGGAACTCTAGGCTGCTCTCCCCCTTTGTTTTGCTAAGAGCTACAGCTACTATGTAGGGTGAACTTTACATACAATATTTTAAAAATGAGCCATTTGTAGTTAACATTAGAAATCATCTCTTACTACGGCATTCTTTTTGCTACTAGGAGCCCATTTTCTAGGTGAGTTCAGTCTGAGAGTAACTTGCATCTGAAATAGATATATATTAATTTTCAAGTGAGTATGCATAGATTGAAAGCAACTATTGCTATCAAAGGCTCTTCCTTTTCCAAATTTAACAAAAGTGTATTCTTAATGTTCTTGCTAGTCTTTCTTTCCCCTCCCTCAAGCTCCCTACGGTTCCCAACAGAAATTACACATCAAAGGTGTGCTCCTATGTTTCTCAGACCAACTTCAGTTAAGGATGAAGCCAAGCATGCTGAACTCCACTCCCATGTTTATCTTTCCCATTTCCTCTCACCGCACCTCACACGGTTGATATTTCATATGTGTGTTGCTTGGAATTCTAAGAAAGACATTCCTTTTTGTTGTTGTTGTTTTTGCTGTTGGTAGTTTCTTTACTTGGTCATGCAAACAAAGCATGTATTTAAAAAGATTGTTTTACTAGTCAGTTCTCTTTATAATTCGTGAAGGAAAATTAAAAATAGTAGTTAATATTATTCTCTGGAGTATTTTCATGGCTTGGGAACAGTTAAAACCACATTCTATTTTCTCAACAAAAATCAAAAGAGTGCCTTTTACAGTCTAGTATCTGTGGCCCTGGTAGGTGAAACTTTTCTCTTTTTAGAAAAGCAAATTGAAGAATTAGAATTAGTTGTAGTGTACTACACTAGGAATTGAGTAAACAACATAACAATTTTGAAAGGATAAAAATGAAGCTGTAAAACAAAATCGATTAACATGTTTATTTTGCATTTTTATATGCCACATTATGTGTTAAGCATCATGAGGATGTATCCAGGTTTAGCTCAGTGCATTTAGTACATGAAACAAAGCCACATAAAATATCACAGCTTTTGAGAGCTTTTATTTTTTATTTTTTATTTTTTTTGGTACTGGGGATCGAACTCGGGTCCTTAGCTTGCGAGGCAGGCGGTAGAACCACTGAGCTAAATCCCCGGCCCTGAGAGCTTTTAAATAAAACTTGGTCTCAGACTGCTTTAAAGAAATAGAACATTCATGAAGCAATTGTGACAATTTGTTCTGGCTTGTGTCATAAAGCACAGCATGGAATAAAATTAGTACACATTCTTGCAATCATATCTACAAACATTTAGTATTTGTTTGAATCATGTATAGAATATTATTTTGTTGCTATTCCAGAAATTAGAACTTTCTTCCATCTGAGTATACCTTCTACCATTTATGATTTTTTTCATTCTTCTCCAGTAATATTTTATTACACTAAAGTGGGAAATAAAAACTAAATGCTTTTTTGACTATGATAAATATTTTTATATTGTGCATAACATTTTCTAATAATACATTTTCTCCTCTCTGGCATAACCATAATCTTATTTATTTGTACTTTCTGTATGTTATATATGGAGGCAATAATAACATCTTCAGCATTGAAGGCTTAAAGCTTCTTTCCCTTTCTGAGACACATTAATGAGTCTTTCAGACTTTACATTGCCTTAAGGGTCAGGTGCCTTAAGAGTAAACCATTCTCTTTGCCAACCTCATTTAAAGATTAGAAGACAGTATCAAGTTTTGAAATTTCATTTCCCATGTGCTCTAACCACTTGAAAACAAATTACTCTTGTACCTCACCAATATCTCAAAAACAGGGACAATTGGAAAGCCTCAGCTATCCACATGCCACTGAGTGAGTGGGATTATTTAATACTGCAGGATACTAAACTAGGATTTTGAAACATTTGAAAAAAAAAGAAACTACATATATCAAAAGAAAGGATTGCTAAACTTAATCCAATTCAAGAAAATAGAAAAATATTTCAGGCTTGACAAATTGATTCAACAACATTTATCTATATATCACAGGCACATCAGAAAGCATAGAGTTAGTAAACCCAGTGAGAAATTTTTATATATGTTACTTCCTGCCTGTGAAGTTAGACTATACAAATATGTATTTGTTTCAGCTTACCAAAAGATTAAATAGTCAATTCCTTTTTCTTATTTGCTTTTGTAAATTAAACCAAATAGATTTGGCCTGCAAGCTATAAATGTATGATATAATTATATTCCTTAATGCAGTTTTCATATTTTATCTGCATTTTGTTACATGAACATAAACATTCATTCCTATGTTGGATATTTTACAAATGTGAAATATAAGTTAACACTTAATATTTTCAATGGTGTGATTTATTTGTGATTTGTAATATTTTTAATTATATGAGTCAATTTTCCAATGATTTTATGACTAATAAAAATATGACAAAATTTATTTAATCCCCTGTTTGTCCCTTATTTCAGAAATAGTTTTCACTGAATGGAGCAATGAACAGAGGAAAAATTTTCTGTACTAATTTATGCTATAATTTTATGTCATAAAATATATACTTTCATTTTCAAATGTGTGAAATAGTAATATTAATAACTGAGCACTTGTATTCAATAGATATAGCCTTGCATTGAGTTCTACTGCTATATAAAAATTAAATACATGTCAAAACTAACTAAACTGTAGATGAGAGAAGTGTAATTTAAACTTGCTTAAGCAAAGTAAGGGAATATTTTGCGCTCATAATGGAAATCTGTATTTCAAGTATGGTTGAATATCTGTGCTCAGGCATGTTATAAAGAATCTAGTTTAGGATTTCATGGGAGTCTATGGTTGGGAGTCTTGAATTTTGATAAGATAGTATTTACCTCAAAAAAGCATGACAGAGACCAGCAAGGACAAACTCTGGGGGATAATGCAGATGGTATTTTGCACAGAGTAACCCATTTTGTGACATTCTCCATGTCTTTGACAATTGTAACCCCTCCCCAAGTGAGGAAATATGTCAGTTAAATGTTACAGTTATGCACGGAGAATTATGCACAGTGGAAGATATCTGCATCTGAGCATTATGAGCAGAATTTCTCTGAGACCAAGATCTTGACCATATATCTAAAAAGCCAAGATTAATATCAACAGAAAATGGTTTGTGACTTGCAAATCATCCCAATAACCCTTTTGTTAATATTCATAACTAACACTATTAATATTGTTTTAATACTCTTATTAAGACTATTAATGCTAATAACTAAGACTTTATTTTTTAAAAGGATATTTGAGGGTTTATCTTAGAATAAACTATACTTACAACTCACTCATTGTAAATAACCCTTAAATCTGGAGGTAGTCCATGCAGGTTGTCAGAAACATTTTATTGGAATGAGTTAGGTACCTTGATTTTCATTTGCTAAATGATAAAACTGGTCCTGTGTTTTATATATATTATGTGATAATAACTAGTTAAGGCCCAAAGAAACTTCTGGTACTAGTTGTAGGTCTAGTGTTCTCTCTACCATGACACATAATGACTATTTTGGGGTAAAATAAATACATTTGCAGTCCACTTGTTCTTATTGACTATTACAGGCCTCAGATATACAGCTTCTGAAAGTATGGAGGGGCCCTTAAACTTTTATCCTACTTTCTTTAGAGGTTTGTTCTAGGGCTCAAAACTCCCATTACCACTAACAGAGGGGGCACTTAATTCTTTTATGCATAGTGTTTCATTTTTGGAACAGCAAATAACATTGGAACATTGTCTTAGTTACTTTTTCTGTTGCTGAGACAAAATATTTGATGCCCAAAGTTCACAGAGGAAATGTTTATTTGGCTCACAGTTTGTAAGGTTTCAGTTCATAGCTGGCTGGCTCCAAGGCAGAGTGGCACATGGCAGTGGGGCATCACAGCAGAGAAACAGTCCATGGCAGGCAGAAGGCAGCAAGGCAGCAAATAGCAAGAGAATGAGCAATAAGCAACAACCCTCTTTTTGTCCCTTATATCTTATTCAGCCTACACACCCTTAGGGCAGATGGCACTCATACCCAGTGTGGGGGACACATAATCCTACTCAGACCTATGCCAAACCAATCAGTATACTGGTTTAGTAATCACACACCTTTGATCCCAGTATCACACTCTGCAGATCCATCCATCACTGAAAAGCCCCACCTATGACCACATGCGGCATTGGGGAACATCTAGATACAAGCCATAACAAACATAATAAAAGATTTTCTCCTCAAATTCTGTTCCTTCAATTTTTCTAGGTAACATAGAAGAATTCCCTGTGAAAATTTTTAAAAGGCTGCAACCTTCAGCCTAAATGGGTTAATCCTCCATCATTTCAAAGGACAACAATGTATAAATTGAATCCCACTTCCAAAAATTTAGGGTGAGGAGAGTAGGGAGTAAAGTATCATCACAAAAGTGATAAGGCTGTATAGTGGCATAACCTGTAATCTCAGCGCTCTGGGACACTGAGGCAGGACCATCTCAACTTTGTGCCCAGCACTGGAATCTTAGTTACTAAGTGAGAAAAATTAAAAGAGGGCAGTTATGTTCTCAGGATGAACGTAACTTTATCTCCAATACTGAAAAAACAAACCAACAAGGACAAAATTATGGTCAAAACTATTAATACACTTCTAAATGACAGAAAAAGATAAATTAAAAGGGAATAAATCGCTCTCCAAATTACTGCTACTGATGACAGTAAAGCCTTTCCAAAAGTGAAAGGGAATAATCATATTTGTAACACTGAGTCCCCTTAGCTTCATAAAGTGGGAGCAGTCTGTCCTCAGTCTTTGCAAATCAAGGGCTAAATGACATCTTTCAGGGACACAGCAGGTGTTTTGGGGGGATTTTTGTTTTTTTCCTCCTCCTCTCTATGCCAGGTTTGTTATCTGAAATAATAAGGTGTAGAAAGGGTGTTTCCAATTAATTTCTCATTTTAAAAGTATCTTTAAAACTAAGTGGCCAGCCCCTCTGGGATGCTCCTAGGTATCTCAGGAGCTTTCAGAAGGTATCATTCCCTCAGGGCCCTCTGGTTACAGTGAATCTGAAAGCAACAGAAGCTGTTTAATGAGTGCACTGCAAGAAGTCAGACCACTCCTTACAATCAGGCCAAAGACCAAAATACACCCTTCCGTTCATTTTGGTCTCCTGAGATTTGCCATCTCCCAGATGCCGAGTCAGCATCCTCCATCCCAGGCTCACAGGGAGTCATTCTGAGTGGAGGCGGGAAGTGGCAGCTGCACGGGATCGGGATCACCCTTTGTATGCACCCAGGTATCTGGGCCCCAATGGGAGTTGGAGGACACTATTGCCAGAGACAGCTTTTTCTTTCTTTGATTTAAAGGACTATATTAGGTCCCACCTAGTCCATCCTGTTGCCCTTACTCCAAATTTATACAATAATTTAATTACCATCCCGCTTTATTTGAAATGACAGAGGAGGAATTAGATGTGTTTTGAGTCATGCTATTGACGGCAATGGACGCAAAGGGGTTTAGGGGTCTAGATCAGCTCTCTGATGAATGAAAATAACTTCCTTCCAATCACCTTGGATGGAGGCGTGTAGAAGATGGTTAATATCTCTAGCAATTGTTAGGATTAATTCATGTCAGTAGATCAGAATACACACAGGATTGTCACTCCCTTGTCCCAGACAATAATGATACTAAGAATAAAGGACACTGTAGTCAGAAAGTGGGTGCCTAACCCTAATAGCCGCACAACCAGAAAAAAATTAACCTTTCTCAGTTTCAGTGCAATAACCTGTCCAATGATGATTTTTTTTAAAAAAAGTTTGCCTTACCTATCTGACAATATTGTTAAAGTTCTGTTTCCTCCAGGGTTGGGATACTGAGTTACATCTCCAGCCCTTTAGAGTCAGTGTTTTATCCTTATGGCTCAGCCTCCCACAGTGCTGCAATTACAATAATTTGTGACCACACCCAGCTATATAATCTTATAATTGCAAAATGCTATAAATATGATGAGTTACTGTCCTTTATCGTTAACTTTTACTCAGAGTAGGAACTCCATTTCTATTTACATTCTCAAGGAAAAAGCTTCATACATCATAAAATGCAGCATTTTCAAGTGTTATATTCATTTCTACTGATTCAATTCAATGAATGTTCACTATTTTCCTATTAAAGTTTGATCTTATGCTCTCAGGACAAGGGCTCATATCTTACAGGTTTGTGAGTAGAGCAAAACTAAGGGAGAATTCAGGATTTGTTAGAGACATTTATCAGATATGCAGTTAGAATTTTCACCAGTGCCATTCAGGTCTGTTATAAGAGGGAAAAAAGAAGAAGAAGTAAACAGGGGAAAGCATGGGGGCTACTTAGAGGATGGTGATTAGCCCAGCTGGCTGCAGAAGAAGAAAAAAGTAAAGTTGCAGAGTAACTTGGACTCCTACAATTACCACCCTTCAAGTTGAGGGAATTCCTGGGGTGGAGCCGACCCTGGAAGTGGCTGGTTTGAGGCATCCTAACTTCCCCTTACCCTGGCCATCTCCCAGGTCCTGAACAAGAGACTCAAGAGCAGATGTCTGGTCACCACCAGGTGGTGACCTGGTGAGGTGAAACTGGGATTGGAGGTTATGTGGTCAAGACAAAGCTTTATGGAGCTTCCTCAGGAGTCTAGAACTATACTCTGCAAGAATAATCTTATAATTTATTGTCCCAAATGTGATAGTTTTAGAAAGACAAACACTGAACTCTGCAAGAGTAGATATAATTTTAAATAACATCTAAGCCGGGATATATGTCCACAACATACTGTCTACCATCTCACCCAATCATGATACCCAGGAAAGCAGCAATTACACATAAGGAAAAGGTAAACTTCAGATATGTAGATATGTGATATATGTAGATATGTATGCAGGGAAAAGACAGAGAAGCAGAAGGTATGACCAGAACCAGCCTTCTGCCCTTTCTGAAGTCCCACTGGTGGATAAGAATCACTTGTGAGATTGTCTAATCAGTTAAAATATCAATGTTTAAAACTCAACTGAACTTAGATTCCTGCACACAGGTAATTGACTGTTTATGATACTTACCCTAAAATGGAAATGATAATCCAGCATAACTAGGTTGAAATCAGCCCAGGAGGCAAAAAAAGCCAGTTCATCCCAATTAATTTAAATCCCAATTAATGGTAGTCTCCCAATAAAACCCTCACAGGGGACTGTGCAGATTAAACTATGAATGGAGGAGAGAACCGTGGTGGGCTTTTTGAGATTCACTGGAGCCCATTTGTACCTAATAATC